CAGGTCAGTCTCAGCTACGTAGTGAGACCCTGTCTCAAAACAACCACCACCAACAACAAAAGATAAAATAAATGAAATATCCTTTTCTGAGCTCCCATTCTTTCAGGCTGTTGGAAAAATTAATGTTGGCCTCAGTTGGAAAATACCTTCCTCTCTCGGGTTGCACAAGAATCTAGAAGGCTCCCCGGGGCCCTGAGAAAACAAGGGAAAGGAGAGCGGTTCTGGCTGTGGTTGGTGCTGAAGCTCCCAGGTCCTCAGAAGGCAGGTGCCTCCCTGGAAGAGGAACCCTCTGTCACATGAGGTGCCTGGGGCCTCTGTCAGGGCCACATGACCCAGGCCTAGGGTCCAGACTCCCGGGTTGCTCCTGCAGCCAGCCATTCCCGAGGAACCGGCCTCTTCTGGGGACTGGGTGGGCTCAGGCTCTGGGGATTCTCCATAGGCTGCAGCTCCCCCTCGGCTGTGGGCCAGGGGCTCCAGAGCTGGGCTTCCTGGGGTTTCCCACAGGGGTGGCAGGGGCAGGAAAGAGTTCGGGGAGAATTCATCTCCACCAAAGGTGCTGCCACGGGAGCCAGAGAAGGGCAGCCTCCCTCGGATCTAAATCCTCAGGGCCACTCCTGCAGAAGAACCGCTTCAGATGCCGAAGACCCCAGACGGTCTACCAAACAGAAGCTTCGTGATCAAAAAAGATCTCCTTTTGCCAATTTCTTAAACTAACTTCGCCAGAGACGAGTGAAAGGAATCTGTCTCAACCCAGGAACGCACACAGCTCATCAAGGGCTGGTGGCGTGACAGTGTGCAGGGACAGCTTTTGTTTCTGGCCTAGCGTGTGTCCTCACTTTGGAAGACACTGAAAGCCATTCTTTTCCTTTTCCTGGGACGGGGCTCCAGACTCTGTAGAAGTCCTGATATTGAAAATTTTCCTAGTGCCACCAATTCTGACCATCCCCCATTAACCTAAGGCCCAAGGAGGGAGTGTTGGTGTACAAGAAAATAGCAGAATCATTTCTGGCACTAAACCAGACCCTCCTGTGCCAAGAGGTTCCAGGAAAACTAGCACATCCCAATCAGGGGAAGTAAGGCAGCGACTGGGGACTTTTCCTAATGAATCCAATAAATCCTTGGGAAAATAACCCACCAAGGGACAAGTATATGTAAACAACTCTGTGTGCTTTTGGAGGGCTCTTGTTTTTCTTTCCTAAAGAGAGAAAAATAGAAAATATCCCATGTATCGACTTTGAAGTAAATAACCAGGAATATAAAACACACCAATAAAGATCAGCCTGTGAACTTGAGCTCTGTTGCTGGCCGGATCCTGGGAGGGAGAGAAAGGAAAAAGACAAAATGGAGGAGAGGACGAAAGGAAAAGTAGGAAGTAGAGCAAGAAGGAGAGAGGGTGTGAGGGAGAGCTCGGAGGGTCAGATAGGAGGACACAATGTTTCCGAGACCAGAGACGCCAAATGCAAGGAAGCAAATCACAGGGAGAAAACACCAGACTGAGAGGCTCCGAGGCCACGCCGAGAGGATCACATAACTGAAGGTTAATCGCTGTTTCCACACCTCTTGGAAACCTGGACAGTCGGAGCTGCCAAGACAGGAGCCCATCCGGCCCATTCCGTCCTGGGCTGGGTCGCATAACGGCCCCCGTGGTGCACATCTTCCCGGAGCCTCAGGCTGAGGATTTATCCGGAAATAGGCTCTTTGGGTGACGGTGAGGCGACACCTCCTCTGGGCGGGCTCTGATTTCAGTACTGGCCTTAGGCGCAGGCCGCGTGCTCGCAATCACACCCATGTGGATGGAGCCCAGGCCGGAGTGGCACAGCTGCAGGCCAAGGGACAGCGAGGATCACTGGCACCACCAGAAGCCAAAGACCCGTTCGTTGTAGGCGGGTGGCCTCACTGACACCTTGATTTCAGACCTCAGGCGTCCAGAGCCACGGAAGCAGAGCTTTCTGTGGTTTCGTGTCACCCAGAGTGTGGTGACGTTTCACGGCGGCCGTGGGCAGAAATAGGACCCCTGGGATGCGTGACACCTTCGAGATCACATAGTCAACGATATGCCAGCCTCTTAGCCCAATACCTTCTATTTTTCTTTAAGGATCTTGTTAGAAAATAAAACAGAATTTTATTGGTTTTCCAGCATCCTTCATCCTGACCGGATATGGCAGGAATGCCTCTTGTGTATTGTCGAAATTCATTTTGAGATAAAAATAAAATTTCCTGCCAACTTATGAAATCTGTAAGAAGGGACAATTCAGGCTTTTGAAATACTTTGGATTATGGTGTCTCTCAATAAATTTACTGCCTGATCTTTTGGAATTTCAAAACAACCTAAGAGACTGTTACCTTTGAGAGACAAAGGCTGTCTTTTTTAAATGTTGAAATCACCAATTAATTTCGAGCGGTTTTCTAAAGACAAGCACAGTCCTGCTGGGAAAACTGGATCGTTGGATGTGAAACTCACTCCTTCATTCCTTCATTCCTCATCCACTTATGTATTGGCGGTGGTGCTGGAGATCAAATCCCGAGTCTGCAGCATGCTAGACAAGCTCTCTCCCACTGAGATCCACTTCCAGCCCCTGAAGTAGACTCTTTGGTAAGAAATATAGTGGCCACTCTTTGAAGTTTGGTTTTTTGGTTTTGTTTTCTGTTTTGCGAGGGGCAGTGCAGGGGAGGGCACAAAACCTTGCGATATAGCTCAGATCGGCCTTGAACTCACCAGGTGGCCCAAGCTGGTCTCAAACTTGCTGTGACCCTCTTGCCTCAGCCTCCCAAATGCTGGGAATGTGCGCATGCACCACCACATCCAGCTGGAGTTTGTAACCGACATCAGAGTGCACGGTGCCTATGTGAGTTCTTAATTATTTACCATCTCTTAGCCCCTTTTGGATCACATCTTCCTTTGAAAAATGGATAAAAGCTATAGATCCTCTCCCAGAAAAGTGCACACCTGCACTATTTTTTGCACTTATTTTTAGGGATTCCCAAGCATAAGCCCCACTTAGCCCCACTCTGCGGGCTCCAGGCTGACGACCGCAACAGCCCGCTGGGAGCCACCCCCTTTCGGTGTTTAGGAAAAGGCTGAATCTGCCCTCTGTGGCAGAAGTTTTTCTCTCCAACATGCTAAGGACACCGGCGGAGGATCTTAGACACGACTTAAGCAGGAGTGCGGTTCTCGCTGAGCACCTTCAGGGACCCCAGGACTGAGGCAGGGCCGTGGGAATCCGGCAGAAACTCCCTTGGACAGCGGCTGAGTCCTAAAGCTGGGCGACACCCGGGAGCCGACGGCGCCCCCCGGCGGTCCCTCGGGGCACTGCCCTCTCTTGCTTGCTCCGGGCCTTCTCCAAGCTCCATCTGTGCTCAGTCAGGCCTTTGGTCAGACCACGCTTCCTCCTGAACTTCCTCGACAGAGTGCCTGTGTGTGCTTTCGTTTTCCACCACAGCCCTTGCCACACTGTACTGTCGCCGCTTTGTGCCTCATCCGCGTCTCTGCTGGGCTCTGGTGCTTGTCCTACCTGACCCTCGGCCTGGTGGTGGCCACGCGGATCTGAGCTTGTTGAGGAAATGGATGAGTAACAGATATTTCCATGCAGGGACCCTTGATCTGGGCACCACTGGCCTTTTGGATCGATCCTTTGTCACAGGACACTGGCCTGTGGACACAGAATGTGTGCTAGCATCTCCTCTTCCCCCACCCCATGCCAGGAGCACATCTACCCGGTATGACTACCAAAAACGTCTCCAGACACTGTCCAGTGACCAGGGGGACACGAAATCGCCCCGGTTGAGAATGAGTGCTTTAACACACGAGTATTAGTCACGATGTCACAGGGCACACTCCAGTGCAGGTCGGGGGGTTCGGTTAGTCAGTCAGTAAACAGTATGTGCTCATGTAATGGGCGGCGGAGCTCTGGAGGCTCCTCAGAAAAGGATAAAAGTTCTACGTTTGCTAAGGACTAAGTCTTTCAGTGAGCAGTGGCACCGGAAGCACAGGAGAGGAAGGTGTTACTATCGAGTTCCACTGCCTGTCCCCCATTCCCACCCCACCTCACGTGGAGGATCTTGGGAAGTGATTATGACAGCCGGTCAGGAAAGCTGAACACAGAAGGCATTTTTAGCCATGATATTAACTAGGGAGGGACCCCTGAGTGTTGTGTGGTTTCCTCCTCAGAAATACAGGTGGCAGGAAATAACAAAGCTGTGTGTCCAGCGGTAGTGCTCAGATGCAGGAATGGGGTCTGAGGAGTTGACACGGGCTCTGGACTCTCCCCAAACCATTGGTGCTTCAGGAGGTTGTTAGAGATCACCTAATCATTCTCTGATCCTTTGGCTTTAACCTGAGCCCGTGGTCCTGTATGACAGTCCTGCGATAACGTCATGCATGTGTGTGGTGGTGGTGGTGGTGAAGAATCACTAGATTTCATCATATTTTCTTTTTTTGAGACAGTCTCACTATGCAGTTCAGACTAGCCTTGAACTTGCAGAGGCCCACCTGCCTCAGCCTCCCAAGTGTTGAGATTACAGTGTGCACCACCTCACACGGCTTCATCGTATTCAAAGGAGTCTCAACTTCTCAAATGTTAGGAGTCATTTTTCTGACATTTGAAAGATGAGGAAACTGAAGCCCAGAGGTTAAAAGGCTGGTTCAGCTTTTCAAAGTTGACACCTGGCAGACCTCTTGCTGCCTTTTTGCCCAGCAGTGTCCTGAGGGCAGTGAAATCTGAGGGACCCTGGATGGGCCCCGAGGACTGGTGAATTAGGAGGGTGGATGCCTGGCCAGGAGAGTTGTCAAATAAAATACAAGGTGGCCTGTTACCCTTGAAACTCACACATAAAAATATTTCAGTGTAAGTCTATACCAAACAGCATCTGAGACTCCAGGTGAAGTGGGTGTCTTGGGTTCTCCCGGACTGAAGCCTGAGGGGTCTTTGAACGCTCCAGGGAGTCTCCCTGCACGCGGCCTCTCAGAAGATGACATCTTACAAGTCTCGGAAGAGTAAAGATCAACTTTATTTAATACAACACCCCTCAGGCTCCCTGCGGCTCTGCTGCCCAGGCGGCCAGGGAGGAGATTTCCTCCTTCCCACCCACTCCGGCCAGCCTCCGAAACATCTCCAGACCTCAGATCACTTCCTCAGCAGGGAATAAATTAAAAAAAAATTAGTAAGAAAAATACACGCTTCGTTTTTCTATTAAAAATCGGATTTGCTGTAGGCAATCATCCCTCATCTTCCGGCCTTCAGTGTGGCGGAGGGAGAACCCTGGCCAGAGCATCGGCGCTGACACCACCTTCCTCCTCCACTCGGACGGCCGGCCTCACCTTCCTGGTGTTTTGGGGGAGTCGCACCCCAGCAGCTCTGTGGTGGGTGAGGTCAGAGGGGGCGTGGCGGTGGGGAGCTGTCTGGTCATTTCCGAGGAACAAACACTATCCAGAGCTTCCGGCCTTCGAAGGACCAAAGAAAAAAACAAAACAACAAAACAAAACAAAAACTAAGCCTAAGAGTAGGCCGTCTGCTGGAAGTGATCGGGTACAAGACAAAACGGGTAGGGGGCGCATGCAGAAATTCTCTATCTGTACAAGACAAAATATTCAAGTTTCTAAAATAGCCCAGGGGCTTGTTTATCTGACCTCCTTGTAGTCTTCTGCACTGCAAGGTTGTTGCAACTGGGAAGGAGGGACCACGCGGGCGACCGGACAGCCCCTCTGGATCTCTTTATGCCTAACATTAACGCAGCAGGATGGATTTGAGAACTGGCGCCTCGGCCTGAGGAATTTCTAGGTTACATGGGAGCAGAGGAGGTTGGTAAGTGCACAGAGCTCTCGGAGTATGGGAATCGTCTGCGCGTCTCGGGATGTGGATGTCCTGCCAGGCACGAGCACCTGCTTTTGCTGTCCTAAGTTCCATCAAGGGAGGCTTCTGCTCGCTGCAAGGACAAAAGACAAAAGAAGCTGGAGTCGCACCCCTAGGACTGCAGATCGCCCCGGCAGACAGACACGCAGAATGGCGGGCAGCACCTCACACCGGAGCCACAAGGTGGTGCAGTCCTGGGCCAGTCCCCCAGCCCGGCCCACACTCGTGTCTGGACCTGTGAGTTTTAAGAGACCTGGCTTCAGGCTCCAGTTCCACCTCTAACTACTCTCTCTAGGTCTGCTTTTTATTATTTTTGTTTGTTTGTTTGTTTTGTTTGTTGAGATAGGGTCTCGCTATGCAGCCCAGGCTGGCCTTGAACTCGTGGTGATCCTCCTGCCTGAGCCTCCGGAGTGCTAGGATCCCAGATTCCAGATTCCCATACTTGGTAGGTATACTTTTTAATTTTAATAATGAAAGAATGAACTTAAATGGTCAAACTTAGATGTTTCAAAGAGGTATGACTCTGTCTTAAGAATGAAACTCTGATGCATTTCAAAGTAGATGAACCTTGAGAGAATCATGCTAAAAGAAATAAGCCAGACATAAAACGACAAATAGCATGATTCCACTTGCTCAATGTACCCAGAACAGCCAGATGCGTAGAGACAGAAGGTGGGACAGTGGTTGCTGGGGGCCAGGGACAGAGGCTTTCAGTCTGAGCAATGGAAATCTTCTGAATGGGAAGATGAAAATTTAGGAGGTGGTTAGTGATAACAGTTGAATAGCAATGTGAATGCACCTAGTGTAACTGCATTATACATTTTAAAATGGTTCAGCCGGGCGTGTGGCGCACGCCTGTGATCCCAGTCCCAGGATCGCTGTGAGTTGGAGACCAGCCTGGGCTTAGACCCTATCTCAAAACACCAATCCCAGCACTCGGGAGGCTGAGGCCGGAGGATCGCTGTGAGTTTGAGACCAGCCTGAGCTACATAGTGAGTTCCAGGTCAGTCTCAGCTACGTAGTGAGACCCTGCCTCAAACAAACAAACAAACAACAACAACAAAAATGATTTAAATGACATTTATATCCACATAAAAAGTTCACCTCTTCTGCCATCTCGCAGTGCTCTTTGACTGCTTCAAATGCTACTCCGGTGAGCTATCCCACTAACAGAACCTGGATCTGACCTGCACTGTTTTCTATGCTGAGGATGCAAAAACCTGCCCCCCAGAACTTGACATATGATCATTATTAACAATACTGCTAGCCGGGCGTGGTGGCGCATGCCTGTAATCCCAGCACTCAGGAGGCTGAGGCAGGAGGATCGCTGTGAGTTGAGACCAGCCTGAGCTACATAGTGAGTTCCAGGTCAGTCTCAACTACATAGTGAGACCGTGTCTCAAAACAACAACAATAACAACAACAAAAATACTGCTACGAGAGAAGCTAGGAGGGCCCTTAGTGAAGTACAGAAGAGTTCAGCAGTGATGAGAGGAGCCAGGTTGGGCAGTGAGGGTGTCACAGAAATGGCGAGAGCTGGCTGCAAAGGTTGAGTTTGGACAAGTGGAAACAGCAGAAGGCCCTGGGCCATGCTCCTGGACCCTCGTGGGCAAAGGACACCCTGCTCCAGTGGATTCGACAGGCACCAGCACAAGGACAGGGGAGGGTTGCCCAGAGTCTGGGGAAGCCCATGGCTGACTTCCTAAGGTGAGCTGAGCTCATGTCTCCATTTTGTTCTGGCCCTCCTGGGTCAGAACAGGATGCAGGACTGAGGGTTCCAACCAGAAGGTCAAGGCTCTGGCTCCTCCTCTGCCAGGAGAAACCCAGAGGAGCAGGCCAAAAAAGCTGTGTTGGCCCCAGAGGGCTGGAGGCCCGCCAGCGCTGGCAGTTAGGCTTGTCCCATTTCCTCCGTCCAGCGGGAGGAGGGAGACCCAACTGTGGTGTCCAGCCTTTCTGCAGGGCCCAGAACTGAGTCCCTCCCCAGGCACCTCTGTTCTCCCTTTCTTGGGGACAGACAGTGCTGGGCACAGCTGCACAACCAATGCCACAGACAGGAAGGGCTTGGCTCGGGGACTCCGAAGTAAAGGTTAACACACTCACATCCGAGGTCTGGGCTTGCTGTGCCTAAGTCAGTGCCCAGCTGTCAGCCATCCAAGTACAGCCATGGAATTGTCCACTTCCGGCCAGAACACGATACAAATCCCCTCGAAAAGCATTTGTTTCCAACACTCTCTAATCCCTAATTAATTGGATCTCTAATCCCTACTTCTAGAAAATACTGCATATGAGTACTTCTGAGGTATTGGGACTGTGTCTGGTGCCCATTTAGTCTTTGCAACAACTAGGTGAGACATTTACCACCCCCAGTTCACAGATGAAGAAACAGAGGTCTGAGGCCGGGCGTGGTGGTGCACGCCTGTAATCCCAGCACTCAGGAGGCTGAAGCAGGAGGATCGCTGTGAGTTCGAGATCAGCCTGAGCTACATCGTGAGTTCCAGGTCAGTCTCAACTACATGAGACCCTGTCTCAAAAAACCAAAAAAAAAAAAAAAGAAAGAAAAAAGAAAAGAAACAGAGGTCTGGAGAAGTTAAGAGTTTGCCCAAAGGGACATGGTTAGCTCCCGGCTAGTTTAGCACAAGTCTGAATGTGGGCCTCTGATTCCTACCTCAAAGCTTGGCTTTGCTTGAATCCCACTCCTCGGGGAAGCAATTGCTTCATTCCACAATGCAGCAGGGACATTTGAGGACCAAATAAAGCAAACTCACCGATCATATCCACTACTGCCAAAGTGGTGAAAAGAAGTTTAAAGTAGAGAACAGCTTTTACACGGCTGCTAAATTTCTCACTGAAGCCTTAATAAAGCCCTGTTAAGTAGTTGCAGTTTTCCTCCTCCTCATCGCCACTTCGTGGATGTGGACGCTTAGGCTTGGGGGAGCCAGGGTTGCCCCAAAGAGGGCTGCAGAGTTGAGAGCCCCTCTTCAGCCTAAGGAAGCCAGCTCCTTGTCAGGCTCCATCGCAGCCCAGCTGCCTGTGGCCCCCAGAGGTAGGTAGGTGAGCAATCCATAAGAAGGCAGGGTTCTCTCCAAGATCTAAGACCCTCACAGGTCTAGAATCACCCGCTTATGTAAGTACAGGGTGTTCTCTTCATGTTATCTGTCTGAGTTGGCCACAAACACGATGTATAAACAAGGCAAAAATGGCAAAGGAAAAGTGAAGTCAGAGTGAGCCATCGAAGCTGGTCAAACAATGCCAAATTAGCAGTTGGCCCAGTGGCTGTCTCATTGTTAAGATATTTCCTCCAATGGCCGTTAAACAAGAGGGAATGATTGTCAGGTTTGATTTCAGGAAGGAAATCCCCTCCCACTTCCCTGCTGGGCAATTCAATTCATTTTCTCCTGACCTGCTCCAGATGATTATTAGGGAAACTATACGTGCTCCTTTTATAAACAAAACCCATGAGCTTCAAAATTCAAAATTCCTTTCCCAGTGGTGGAGGACTCTTTGGCTCCCGCCAAAAGGCTGTCTTTGGGGGAAGGGGGCAGGACCGGCCGGCCTGAGCTCTTAGAATCAGACTTTTGGGCCCAAGGTCCAGCTTCTAGGGAAGAGGAAAGTTCAGTCTAAAGTAAAAAGGTTGGTCCTGCTGGGTGTTGGTCTCCATCGGTGGTAGCGCGGGCTTGGGGACACAGTGACATTTACTGCAGAGGGAAAACACGTTTTTCTCAGTCTCCCACACTGCCTGTGGGGCAGAGTTTCCACTCTCACAACACCGTCACTGCTGGGACAGCACAGTACTTGGGGACGGGAGGACTTGTGGTGTGGACAGAGCCCCGGCCAGGGACCCCTGAGCCCTGGTCTCTGTTCCTGGCTCCGGGTGACGGAGGCCAACTGTTGTGTCCTAATCCAGGCCAGTTTCTTCCTCTATAAATCGGACTCCCCACCCTTGTCATGCAGTGGTCTCTGATTTCGGGAGTCTGGGTGGGTGGGTGTCGTCTAGAAAAAGACGTTCCTTTCATGTTTCTTTTCCTTAAATTGATAGCTTTTCTCCACAAAAAGAATGTCAGTGGCTTCCTGCCTGTCAAATGCATAACAAGCTCTGTTTTACAAGAATTCAGACAGGCAAAAACAAAGGAAGCCAGAGGCCCACTAGAAGGGGTTGCAGAAGTCTTACTAAAAAGCTCCTCCCAGACCCTAAAGTTGTATTTCATAAAACCAATTCCTCATTTCTTAAGACAGCAGCTGCCCTGTTAACGCCTGCACGGCTGCTAAACTCTCAGAAAGGTTGCGCGTGGGAAGGTTAGTGAGAAAAAAGCCTTTGCAGTTTCAGCGTGGGCCTGTGTCATTCTTACTAAGAGAGCAACGAGTGTCCTTGATTCCCAGTTCTCTGAGGGGGATTTCAAGGGTTCCCCTCCTATATGGGCTGAGGTGTAACGATAGAAACAGGTGAGGGAGGTTATTCAAAGTCAGAACTGGCGAAGGTTAGTCAGAGGGTCCTGGTTCAAAACAGACTAGGCCAATATGGGGTAGGAGGAAGATTAGTGGGAAACAGGCTCTGGGGGAATTGGGAAAGTATTTTACTGTTCTGTGAACAGTGTACTTACAGAATGTCTGTTTTCCGCAAAATCTGCAAGACAAAGAATAGCAGGGCAGTGAGCAATGCAAAGATTTGGCTTTTTCCCCAGATTTCAGGGACCAAGGGGGGGGGGACCAGGTCCAGGAAAGAGGGTGAGACAGAAGGGAATGCTTGCTCAGGGTTAGGGGTCCTTTGCCCACAGATACATTGCCAGGGACCCTCCAGTTCCATGTGACAGGCATGTAAAGTCCCTGCCACATTATTTAACACTTTTAAAAGTTTAAAAAATGTAAGTAGCAAGCCAAGTGTGGTGGTGCACGCCTGTAATCCCAGCGCTCAGGAGACTGAGGCAGGCGGATCGCTGTGAGTTCGAGACCAGCCTGGGCTACACAGTGAGTTCAGCATGAGCTTGAACTACAGGTGAGACCCTGTCTCAGAAAAACAAAAGAAAAAGGGGGTGGATTTATCTCAGTGGTTCCACCACCTGCCTTGCAAGCGCAAGTACCTGAGTTCGATCCCCGGTATCAAAAAATAAATAAATAAATAAAGCAGAAACAAAAAAATAAAATAGCAGATACACTTTAAGAAAAAAGTTGAAAATTACAGGAAAGTGGGAAATAAAGCACCCCTGGAAAGTAAGAATAAAACCTCTAGTCCCATCCTCCGAACCCTGCTGACACCTTCCCTGGTTATTTTTACTGAGTAGACTTTTTATTTTTAATTTTTTGTTTTCTTTTCTTTTCTTTTTTTTTTAGACAAGGTCTCACTATGTAGTTGAGACTGACCTGGAACTCACTCTGTAGCCCAGGCTGGTCTCGAACTCACAGCGATCCTCCTGCCTCAACCTCCCGAGTGCTGGGATTACAGGCGTGCGCCACCACGCCCAGCTGTAGACTTCTTTTTGAAGGGGGCAGTTACATGGTAAATGACATTTTATATCCTATCTTTTTCTTTTTGGAGAAAAAGTCTTACTGTGCAGTTCAGACTGACCTTGAACTCACAGCCATCTTCTAGCCTCAGCTTCCCAAGTGCTGGGATTATAGGTATGCACCACCATACCTGGCTTCTTTTTTATGTGACATGACTTTATAAGCATTTCTGGTACCTTCTTAAACAGCTGTTAAAGTAGCAAGATTATATTTGTTAAATGGGCGTGCAAGGGTTTATTTAACCAGTTCCTTACTTCCAAAAGTTAGAATGTTAAACTGAGCAGACAGGAAGCTGTGTGAAGGGTGAGTGGTCACTGCCTGCATTAGTCAGAGGCAACTTTCACTGCAAAGGACAAGCAAGGGGATGGTCTGCCCCTCTGGAGAGGACCAGGCTCCCCACTCGCACCAGAATGCCTGGATTCTGGGCACAGACTTGAAGATACAGCAGCTACGGGACCTCGTCTGCTGCCTGGGAAGGCCTGAGAGAAGGCGCTGCTGCTCTTAAAAGTGGGGCAAGAGGCCTCGGTTTGTACCCAGGCCCACAGGCTCAAAACCCAGTTCAGTGTGGGCCTCGGGCAGGCTCCGGGGCCTTCTGTCACTGCAGGCACCACCTTTGGTTTCTCTGATTTTAAAATGTCCTGTTTCCACAGGTCTACTTCCTTGTAAACCTCATCTTCTCACATTCCACTGCGCCTGCCCTAGAGGAAACGGGACCAGAAGTTCCCAAGGCAGACCTCTCCTGCCTCGGCCGGGCCAGAGTCCTGTGGCAAAGGCCAGCTAGGCCCATCAGCCCGTTCCCGGGGTGGAGCCCCAGAGAGGTTGCCTGGGAGGAAGAGGAACCCCCCCGTGCTCCAGCTCTTCTCCCACATCTCATGGGCTCTGGAGCCAGGCACAAGCGGGGAAGAGGCTCAAGACTGCATTTCCTAAAGCAATTTGAACACGAAATGCTTTACATTCATTATATTTGCTGATATGAATGGAAATCCAAATCTGCACTTACTTGTAGTTTCTGTTTCTTTTTGGTAATAGAGCAATCACCATAAAAATAGAATTTGGTGGGTAGCACCTTCAGTGTCTGCATGAAATACTCTCTTACACCTTGGATGCTGGAGGAGGAGGTACCTCCCTGAGGGGCAGGTTGGCAGTGCCCGAGGGCCCAGCTGGCTCTGGGCCTCACAGGATGGGTGGAGACCAACTCAAATGTTCTCTCCCTCTCTAGGACTTGGCCTAGAGGCCTTCTTTTCTTTGGTTCTTTCTTGATGACCATTTCCTGTTGTGACTATTCTCAACCCCGCCACTTGTTACACAGGGTGGCAGGGAAGGCAGGGGGGCCAAGGGTTTCTGTCCTGTGAGGTCTGAATTCCACCTCGGAAGTCTGAATTCCAAGCAGAAAGAGTGCAGCCCTGGAAGGCTGAGGGAGCTGAATCTCAGATGGGAAGGGGGCCCTGTCCGACTCAGGATGGCACGAGGACCTGGAGTAAGACTGTCTCTCCCAGGACCAGGGGGATGGGTAGGAAGCCGCCAGGTCACCCACCAAGGTGAGCACAAAGAAACAAACAGCTGGCGTCCGGAGAAGAGATCTCTTGTGGGACAGTCCCAGGAGGTGAAGCCCCTCAGTGTTGAAGTCCCGTTGCCTCTGCTCACTGGATGCTATAGCTTTGCCCTCCTCCAGCCAAGTTAGGACAAACAAAAATATTCCGGGGTTGCTGGAAAGCTCAGGAGTAGAGTGCCGGCTGAGCTCATGTGGGGCCCTGCCTGGTTCCATCCCCAGGGTCACAAAGTAAATATCCTATCAGGAAGCGGTGAGCATGGGTCCCTTGGCCCTAAGAAGCTAAAGCTTACTGAGGGGCAGGTGCTCTTCCTGAGCCCAACTCAGCTACTGCGTGGCTCTCTCTGTTCTCGGGTCTCTCGGTTTGGTGTCTTTCTCACATGCTTTTCCTAATTCTGAGACTTCTTCCCCTTTCCCTCCTGAACAGCAGGGCACAGGCCATAGGCATGGACGGTGTAGCAGCTGGAAGGGAAAAAAAGAAGCCCTACAGTTTCTTTCCCGCAGACTAAGTGTTAATTACGGGGATGAGATGTTGCCTCAGCTATAAGTCAACACGCAGCGGGCTCCCAACAAAACAGCAGGTTAGCACAGCCCTGGCCGTGACCTGGAGGGGACACTGAAGGCCTGAGTCAGGACAGACGCTGCCCCTCCTTACTTTAAGGAGGCCACCTGCCCACCACAGTCCTTACCCACCCAAGGCCCACTGAGGTGCCCACCCGAGCAAGAGGCATTTTATTCAGATTCGATGAGAAAACTGTCAGAGGCAAAGCGAGGGTGAGAGCCGAGGCACACAACCCAATAAGGGGAGAGCTGCCAGCAGAACCCAGTCTGCATGTCTTACTCAGGGGGTTTTCCAAGAGGTTCACGGTACAAAGAGCCACCCAAGCTGCTCCAGCTAACATGAGGACACCAGCACCACAGTTAAGTTGGCCCTGGGGTCCGGGATGGAATTCGGACTTGAGGGAAAACTTGGGCTTGTGAGTATCTACGCAGTTTGATTCAAGGGAGAAGCTGGGGTGGGTTAAGAACTAGAATTAGCTCCAAGGGTGCCTACCCAGGAACTAATTTAGTCTCTTAAGAAGAGCCTGATTGCAACCTTGGGATGGTGGTGCCTCTCTGTAATTCTAGCTACTTGGGAGGATGAGGCAGGAGGATTGCAAACTGGAACCCAACCTGGGCAACTTAGCAAGAGCTTGACTCAAATTTTTAAAAGACCACGGGTGCAGCTCAGTGATTTCTGAGTTCATTCCCCCGTACTGGGGGTGGGGGCCACTCAGGCAGAAGGGTCTGGAATGACCAAGGCAAAGTCATATGACCTATGTCTAGACTGAATGTTGGGATTGGAAGGGACCTTAAGGTCACAGGCTTGACCTCATGTGACAGATAAAAAAGCTGAGCTTGGCCAAATTCACAAAGATACAGGGTAGAATGGCGGCTTCTGGGGTGGGGAGAAGGAGTTATTGCTTTATGGGTGTGGAGGTTTGTTTTGGAAAGTTGGAAAGGTTCTGGAGGTGGAGGTGGGGATGGTTGCCCAACAAAACGAACAGACTTAAGGCTCTGAACCGTGCACTTGGAAATGGTTGACACGGTGTTATGTCTATTTTACAGTGAAAAAAATAATAGCAAAAATGCTAAGCCTGGAACATAAAGCCCAAACTCACAGACCAGCAGCTCTCACGACCTGTAAGCTCACCCAGGGACTCCTGCCTTTTTGGCTGCCCTCCCCCAAGTCTCTCTCGGGCCCTGTCCTGGGGCTGCTCCTTGGAGAAAGGCCTGCCCATGCCCTTTAGCTTATCAGGGGGAGTGGTTTTCCTTTGTATCGCTCCTCAGGGGAAAAGGGGTTCAACAGCCAGAACTATGCCCCACCTAGCCAGATGAGCCATTTCCCAAAATAGCCCCCGCTGTAGTGCTGCTGTTGGAAGACGGTGTGGAAAGAGACAGAAACATTCACTAAGATCCCATTCTGTACTCAGGGGGCCAGATGATCTGCCCAAGCCCCTGCCCTCACCAGGACCTCATTTTATTGAGAGGTTATGCTACCACACATGTAGTGGTTCTGGATTTCCCTGCCAGCCAGCCACTCCTGAGCAATTGCTCCAGGATTTACAGGGAATAGGAAAGGCCCTAGTTGGGCTGGGGATTTAGCTCAGTGGTGCTGCCACAAGTACAAGGTCCTGAGTTCGATCCCCAGTACAAAGAAAGCAAGCAAGCGAGCAAGAAAGAAAGAAAAGCCAGGTGTGGTAGCACACGCCTGTAATCCCAGCACTCGGGAGGCTGAGGCAGGAGGATCACTGCAAGTTCCAGACCAGCCTGGGCTACATAGTGAGTTCCAGGTCAGTCTCCACTACATAGATCCTGTCTCAAACAAACAAACAACAGAAAAAAGAAAACCCTCTCTAAACCTAAAGGAAATTAGGTTATGGAGAGAAAAAATAATAATAATATGCAACAACAGAGACAGTCTATACAAACAGAGGGACACCAGTGCAAGGAGCTGCTGAAGAAATCCGAGCGATGACCCATGTGGAGATGATTGTACGATTATGAGGATGCATGGGATCTCTAATAAGATTGGAGGGGAGTTTTAATGACTGTGGAATGAGGCTGAGTGTGGAAAAAGCCCAAGGAAGAATTATCAGGAGCTGAAGGACCTGGCTCCTCGGAGAATCATCTTTGCTTTCTAGGTGAGAGGGACCTGACCTGGAGTGAGGTGCAGAGGAAAGGAGAGCGTGTAGAAGCTGGTTTAGGGTAAGGAAGTCCCAGGGAACAGAGGAGCACAATCCCCCGAACAGATACCTGCCCTTCTGCCCTTTTGCAAATCATTCAGAGGAAAAGAAAAAGGAATCAGCCTTGGCCTGTCAGGTCCTCAGCAGCAACGGAGAGGAAATATTCAGAAACAGGAAGCCCCTTGGCTTCCAGGACAATATCCTTAGGTGAAGTCAGGCCGCAGGCTTAAGGCAGCTGCAGGTCCTAAGGGTGGATCCCATGAAAGACTCTGGGCTTTCTCCACACTCAGCCCCCAGCAGGGTAGAGCCCTGGGGTTCTTCATGGGGCTGGAGAGTTTGTTGCAACGGGACCAGAGCCCTAACTGTTCCCTAGGGCTCAGCTGGGGCCGGGAGAGCAGCCCAGTCTGGGATGTGGAGACTACTCTAGTCTAGTCCTGGCCCAGGCCCTGTGCTCTAGGGCCCAAGTTCCTCCACTGCTTTGAAGCTAAACTGAATGCTCATCAGTCAGCAGGGGTAGTATACTAACTACTGGGGATAAGTAGTGACATCTCCAGGGATCTTATCCTTTTAGACAGGGTCTTACTGCACGGTTCAGGCTGGCCTTGAACTCACTATGTAGCCTAGACTGGCCCCAAACTTGCAGCAATCTCCTGCCTCCGCCTCCTGAGTGCCGGGGTCCTGTGGTCTTATCTTATCCCCTCTTCTCATTCTCGTGAAATAATTGAAGAAACCGAGTCTCCGAGGGCTAAGAAATCTTGGTCAAAGTCACACTGCTAATAAGTGGCAGCAGTAGGATAGAGGCTCCACATCTTTCAGCAAAGCCAAGGCTCTTCGCCAGAATAGTATTAGGTTGGGTTCTACAATGCCTGTGGTTCCAGTTTTGCAAAAGCTCAGGACTGAGTAATCTAGAACCAACTCGGGGACTCCAAGAGAACCCACCCGAAGGCCTGACTGCCCTAGAGCAGAGGCCAGAAATCAGACTTTGCAGTGCACTTTGAAATATGCACTTTGGCAATAAAGATGATTTTGAGTTGAGGGCAAATGAAAATTAACTGATGTACAAAGGCGCCTTTCCAGAGCTTTCTTGTCTGACTAAAAGCACTAACATTTGAACCATGGAGACTGCTGCAAACGCCCCGGCCAAGGAAGATTTAAGGCCAGGAAGACAGAAATGTGCTGAGATGGACCTGCACAAAAACACCTCTCTCTCCTACTTCTCCCCAGATATTTACCTCCCCTTGGATGCCCAGAGCCCCTTTCCCTTTGTTAAGAAGCTGTGTAGGCTGGGCATGGTGGTGCATGCCTGTAATCCCAGCACTCAGGAGGCTGAGGCAGGAGGATCGCTGTGAGTTTGAGGCCAGCCCGGGCTACATAGTGAGTTCCAGGTCAGTCTCAACTACATAGTGAGACCCTGTCTCAAAAAAAACAAAAACAAATGACAACAACAACAACAAAAAAAAAACCATTTTGCCGGCTCTAAGTATACTGAGAATGTAAAACAACAGGTACTCAAGCCGAAAACTCTCCAGAAAATGTTTTTCAAAATTCATTCAGTGTCAAGTTCCACAAGAGGCTAAGTTTCTGCTCTAGTCATGGATAGACTAATTTTTTTTTTTTTAAAGATGCATTAAGGGGTGATAACCATTTGAGATAGAATGTAGGTTACTCGGGTCATTGAACAGATCTTTTAAAGCTGCATTTCTCAAATGCTGGTGGTGTCAGGAACAAGCCCCGGGAGGTTATTGAGTTTGGATTCTAGAGAATCTGATTCCGTGGATCTGGGCTGGACCCGAACTGCTGCAGCTGCTGCTGGTTCAGAGCCAAAGCTCAGAGCAGCCATTTTTTACAGACATTCCCCAGCTGAGTTAGAATCCCTTTCAAAGAATTCATTACATGGTAAGTCTATCGTACAAAGCCAGAGAGTCACAGAACTATTATTTCCCCTGGTGTGTTATGCTTTTAGGCATGCTGACTTACCTTCCGAATTTCAAAGCAGTCTGTCGATTGCATTTTACCAGACTCCATGAAACCGGTACAGAAAATGAAACCGGTGCTTCTCTGGTCCATGCCTGCCTGAACGCCCTTCGGCAAGGACGACAGGAGCCAGAGAGAGGCAAAGGAAGCAAAGGAAGTGGGAGAGGATGTGTAAACCCACCCCCAGCCCTGAAGCCAGTGCACTCACTAGGGTCGGCTCTCCGGATCTCACTGTACACAGTGTCTGTGCCCTTCGTTCCTAGAGCTGGAAAAGGGACCAGGCATAAGTTAGTAGTCGTCTCTGGGCCCCAGGCCAGCACACTGAGGTATCTACCACCCACCCCAGCAGTGCCTGTGTCCAGGAGCAGCAAGACCTTGTCGTTCCCAGCCTCAGAAGATCCCGGTCTAACCAGAGTCACTCAGACCGGAAGCAGGAGGCCCACAGCCACCGTGAGACAGGGCTGCCTGCAGAGAGGAGCCCTGGACGTGAGAGTCCAAGTTCCCCGAAGCCCCCAGCTCAGTGGCTGCACCCTCTTTGTCTGCCACAGCGACCCAGTGTCAGGGGGTCCGCCAGGGCTGGGTTATAGCCTTTCACTGTCCTCAGTCTGGACCCCGAAATCTAGACCTGGATCCCCAGGTCTAGCCCTGTCATCACAGTGACAATGACAATCAGTTGGGCCCGTGGAAGACTAGCAGTTCTGGCTGGACTTGCTAAGAATCCACTGGAGAATCTGAGCCCTCAGGTCTGGGGCAGACCTGGAGCTGGTGTTTCTAAAAGCTCCCCAGGAGATTCTAATAGGCAGCCAGGGTTGAGATCCTCCGGGCTAGATTATTTTCAGATCAGGTGTGAATTACATCCAGAGGTGACTTGCAGGCTTGGGAGATAAAGAACACCCTAGGGCCGCTCATTTTTTCACGTGGAGGTGTACACCCAGCCAAGTACATATACAGGGTTTCTGTACACACCTGTGCACAGTGTGTGCACGTGCGTGTACCATGTAAACCTTCATGCGGTGTTCACACACAGTTCGCCTCTGTGCACAGTGGCCACACTCACGACATGCAGGAGCACACCCATGCGCACTCACAAACCCCGAGGAACCAGGGTGGGACCTGACGGCTTCCCAGCCCCTCTCACTACATGAAAGACCAGGAAGTCTCGCTGTAGAAGGGAACTTCACATGGGTGAGAAAAGCCCATGGGTGGGCCCAGCTGGGGAAAGGGACCCCACGGAGGAGCTAGGGAAGGGGATGGTGAATCGGAGAGAAGGCTGTATGTTGGGGTGGCCGAGAGACCTTTCTGGTCACCCTGGAGACACGAGCACTCTCTGGGCGCAGGAGGTGGAGCATGACTCCCTTACATCGCTTATTAGTTTGTACTGGATTGGGCTGCGCTGCTGGTTTCTGCCGCTGCCCCGGCCCCTCCTGTCCTGCCCAGCTCAGCTGCTGTCTCCCTCCTCTTGCTGCCTCGTGGCAGCAGCTGCCTGCTAATGACTAAACCAGGACAGCAGCCTGTTTGTCTCTGCTGTCAGCAGCGTTTCCGGACGGAGCTATATTTTAGCCTCTGTTTTTCTGTGTTAAAAGAGAAAGAGATGGCTTCGACATCATGGGGTTTTCCCAGCAATTAGTCTCAGAGCAAACAGCAGCAAACCCGGGTTTAACAAGTTCCTTCCTGCCCCTCCTCTAACCCACAGGGACCACTTGGCCGGCTGCCAGCAGGTTTGGAGCTTCTCTGTGGTCGGAGGAGGAGGAGGCCTGGAGGACAGGACACTGGGTCAGCCAAGACCGGGTCACCCTAGCTCATCACTGGCCTCGAACCCACACAGCCCTCTCCTCACCTATGCCCCACTCCCCACCCGTGGGAAGGCAAGGAGCCAACGCCAGAGGCTTGGGCCTGTCCTCCCCACTGTCACTGAGCTCCAAGGAGGAGACTGGAATAAGAAAACGCAGGTGATCATGGACCTACGAAATACATCTGTCGGCCCCGAAAGCTCTAAGAGGTTTGCGCTCACTGCTCTAGAGACCCCTCATTGCCACCTGAGTGACAGGAGTCCCGGCTCTACCCAGGCCCTTGCTGTGCACACAGCCCTTCTGTGCAAGGTGGGAAATGCATCCAATCGGTTTGGATGCAACTTGTGTCTGCAGAACTTGATGAGGAAAGCATAAGGCACTTCTCTCTGCCTGCACCTTAGCCTGGGAATTTTGATACCTCACCTTCCCCTCCGTCCCCGTCTACTTTAAGCAAGAAAAAGAAAACCAGATGCCACTAACACGGACACATTCCTAATGGAGAAGGGACACTTTTCCAAGGGCAGAACCCTGCTTCCTTCCTTCTTTCTTCTTCAGTTTCCTTAGGCCCAAAGCCTGGCAGGCATGCTGCGCAGCCCTGGGTTCCGCTGGTGTGGCCCAGTCAGAGTGGAGCAAAAGCAGGGCCTGGGCCTCTGCAGGAGAAGCCAAGGCCGGATGTAGAGCCCAGGTTAATAGGAGGCTCCACCGCTACTGCAGGTACAGAGGACAAGCAGTAACTGGGCTCTCTGTCCTCGGGCTTTACCATCCGCTGCAGCCCTCAGCAGAGTCGGGGACTGTGTTTCCCACTTACACTGACAGCCTGAGTGGCCCCGCTCCCTCGCTACCCTTCGGCTTCCCTGACATCCCTTAGGAATAAGCCGCTCTCCCGCCCAGGATGAAGGGTGAAGGGGTGTGTGCCTGCCGGCTGGGTCAGGGCACCGTCCCACCCGTCATAGCCCACGTCAACTCGCTGCCGAGCACCAGGCCCCTGTGAGCTCTCCTTTTAGCAGTTTCCAGGAGACTCAAACTTAACCCAAAGGAATCAGATCTCCTAATGAGTCTGTTCCTCCCAGCCTCCGGCTTTGCAGCCCTCTCTGGAGTTGCTCCATCAAGAAACCTGCAGGAGGGCCGGGGATCTAGCTCAGTGGTTCCGCCTCCTGCCTTGCAAGCGCAAGGACCCAAGTTCGATCCCCGGTACAAAACAAAACAAAACAAAAAACCCTGCAGCAAATCGGTCTCTCCTGACCTCACCATACTATCGTCATGGGTGCTGTGACCCACCTCCGAAACGTAACTAGAACGCTTGCTGCCGACACCTTGCCTCTGCCCTAGTCCCCTCCCCTCCACATTTCAGTCTCGCTGCTTCCGTTTTTGGCCCCTTCAATGTTTCTACACAGGCCATGAAGATGGTTTTTAAGGAAGGAAACTGGAACCAGCCACATCCTTGCCTAAAGCCTGACCCAAACACCGCCGAATCCATTTAAAATAGGGTGCAAAGGGGCCGGAGATTTAGCTCAGTGGTTCTGCTGCCTGCTCGCAAGCGCAAGGTCCCGAGTTCGATCTCTGGTACCAAAAAAATAAATAAATAAAATTCAAAATAAAATAGGGCGCAAAGAAAACCGTAAACACCCTCTGCGTGCCAGTCCAGCAATCCCCCTACCTCCTCTTTGTCTCTTTGCACACACACAAGCCCCCTTCCAGACCCTTTTTTTTGGTACTGTAGATTGAACCTAAGGCCTTTGCACCCAGTACATCTTCAGCCTTTTTTACATTTTGAGGTAAGGTCTTGCTAAACCGTTAGGGTGCCCAAGCTGGGATCGGACTTATGATCTCCCAGGGGGCCAGACTACAGGTGCACGCCACCACTCGCAGCTGTCCCTTCAGATCTTAAATGAGCCAACCTCTGAGCCACCTTACACCTCCCTATTTCCTGGGTGCTCCTAGCCCTCCCTCCTGGTGGAGCCTCAGCGAAGGCTCTGTGAACTACCCAGAAAGGCCAGAGAAGTCTCTTTGCGCCTTCTCACTGCACCCCATTCTGCTCCCTCTGAGCACTAATGATCACCTGGGACCATGGCTGGTCCTTCACCCTTATTTGTTATTTCACAAGTGAATGGAAGAACTTCAGGCCTGTCATTTCCCCTACCGTTGCAGGTACAATGGAGACTTAGGAGCAGAATCCCCCTGTGTAGCTGCGTGAATTAAGAAGTATACAACTACGGCCGGGCGTGGTGGTGCACGCCTGTGATCCCAGCACTCGGGAGGCTGAGGCAGGAGGATCGCTGTGAGTTTGAGACCAGCCTGGGAGATGTAGTGAGTTCCAGGTCAGTCTCAACTACATAGTGAGACCCTGTCTCAAAAACAAACAAACAAAAAAAAAAGCAGTCCACAGCTGGGGACTCTTCCAACTGAAGACCATGAGAAAGGAGTACAGCACACAGCCCAGGACTGTTTGGGCACTGCTGACACAGTGCCCAGAGCCACGCTGTGCGAGAGGAGGGAGGGCTCTGAAATCCCGCCAGACCGTGGAGCGAGAAGCAGCTCTGGCCAATGACGGGCAGACCTGTGTGGCTGAAGACCCAGCCCAGCCGTATCCTCAGTGGGAAAGGAAAGGGATGGTACCAGACCTCAGGAGCGTTCCAGCAGGGCCGGAAGGCTTGGCATGGCTGTTTCCTTCCGGCGTGCTGGAGCTCTGGGGAGCCAAGAGGCAGGAGGCTAGCAGAGGGGCCCTGTTTTCCAGTGCCAAGGGCAGCTGGGCCTGATGTCCTGCGGACCAGCCTACTGCATCAATCTCCTGGTGCCTATCCAGAGCAAAGGACCACCAGGCTGCCTGTCCCCAAGAGAGCTATACACACAAGGTACAAATCCAGCCCCACCATTCAGACTGAAAGGGTTTGGGGGCTTTTGGATTCTTTACCCAAGTGTCCCTCTCAAGGGCAGAGTCCTCTGTGCCTTCAAACACGCACTTGATTGACACCCATTTGGTCTCCTCAGGTGACTGCTAGGTTCAGGCTGTGTTTGGCAAGGTGCTACCTCTGGGACAGAAGTCTGAACAAGCTAGGTGTGGTGGCATATGCCTGTAACCCCAGCACTCTGGGAGGCTGAGGCAGGAGGATTGCAAGTTTGAGGCCAGCCTGGGCAACTTAGCAAGACCGTGTCTCAAAACTAAAAAATTAAAAATGGGACTGGGACGTAGCTCAGTCACTCACTGTCTGCAATCTAGTGACTGCTAACTACAAAGTACCTGTTGTTAGTGGTTCCATAGTTAATTCTTATTAGACTTTTATAGCTCCAGCCTTAGGGACATCCAGGAGACCCTTCTCACGGAGCACAGCACCCCCACCACAGCACCCACCCAACCAAGAACAAGGCAGGGGTTTTGCTCACCCCAGAGGGATGCTTACCGTGGTGGGGCTCCGCTGAGGATATTTCCACCTCTGTGTACTCCACATCTGAGTTTGGAGAGTCTGTTCAAAGGGACCACAGCAACCTGCGTTTAGGCAGTGTCTCCCTTGGGGGACGCCTCCCCAAAGCCCCTTGACTGAGTTTTGGGAGTGAGTGATGTATGTGTGTGTGACTCTGGATTCGTCCACTGATTGGTTTAACATGGGTGTGGGTGACGGATTTACTGCGGAGGGAAGAGCCACCGTGGGTGTGGGTGGCACCAACCAATGCGCTTGTAGCCTGGATGGAATAAAAAGGAAAGCGCGCTGCTTCCTGCCTGCCACGGACTGTCTCTCTCTGCCATGTCCCACAACCATGCCACCCGGCCTTGGAGCCAGCCAACTGAGAGCTAAAATAAACCCTCCTCCGTTAATTTGTGGGTATCAGGTATTTTGTCCCAGAAAGGAGAAAATAACTAAGACAACCTGGTTCTTTCCTGCTTGGATTTGGGTTGTGTTTCCATTGAGGGCCCCAGATAGCATCTTTGGAGAATTACCTGGTCACATCAATTTTATACATGAGTTAGTTACAGGGTCATTAAAAAGGCTGGGAAGTTATCCAGCTGCTTTAAAATTTTAGTTTTCTCTTTTCTTATAGGTCTTTTCTTTAAATGCAAAAGTTTCTAATAAAACACTCAACTAGATAATTACCTTTACTTTCATTTAATGGTTTCATTGCATGGTTTCCAACTTCATCACTGTAATCTAGGTGAAAAATAACAATTAATTGGGATGTGTGACAATAGAAATTCTAGTTTTCTATAACTTTAAAAATTCAACCAGACAAGAACCTGAGTTCGATCCCTGGTACAAAAAAAAAAAAAAAAAAAAAAAAA